GGGGGTCCCTGCTCATCTGCTCAGTGCTCATGTGGTGGGTAGGGGAGTATTTCTCCTGCTGGGTTGGAGGAATGAATCTAGGGCTCAGAGCTGTGCTGGGGCAGAGGTTTCCTTCTTGTTCTTTTTCAGAGCAGTATACACTGGGAATGTAACAATGCACCCTGGGATGCCAGAGGACCCACAGATTGCTATCACATGATGTATTCCTTGCTACAGGTGCAAATTAACCAACTTTAAAATTGGTACACATTTTCAAGGTCTATCTTTATAGCTGGTTGGAGCTTTTAATAGCATGATAGGTACTTTGCTCGAGTAGCTGGTCTCAGTTAATTGTACAATTAACCAGTTAATTGCACACTAACTATAACATGTAGACATGGCCTAATGCCAATAATATCTACAAATTGTTTTAATATTTTCCCAAAAGTGCTGCTTTGTCCTTTGACATACATACAAATCCATAGTATTATTTTAAGTTTCAGAATATTGAGCCAGTCTAAAAACATTAATGGAGCTACTAAAATCTTTATAAACAAAACAATAATTACAACTGTTAGGCACTTCAGAACAGAGTCCTCCTGAAATTCTCTCACCTATGCTGAGCTACCTACAACTCTGAAGTTGTAAAGCCCTTTATTGCTTTTCCAACAATAGTAGTTGGTAGCTGTTTTTAGTTGGTAACCCCGGTGGTTTGTATTTTAAAAAGGCCAGAACAACCAAAAACGGTTTCCTCATTTTAGGTGTAGGTATAAATAAAAAAGCTCTTTTCAGATATTGTGATGTAATCACTGGGGTTGTTGCAAACTAAAGATCGTGAGTGATCCAGGACTACAGTATAAATAGTTGTCATACAATGTGTCCAGTATTCTCCTCGTATTTTAATAAGAGAATATTTATATATGTATACAACTCTTATCATTTGGGCATTTTTTTAAAATAAAGACTTAGTTTTGTAGAATTTGTGGTAGTGAAAATCAAGAGCTGGTATTTCCAAAGGGTGCCTCAACTCTAAAATGATTGAAAACTACTGCTATATTTAAAGAAGAGAAAACAAGAAGTCCGGGCTTCAGGGGCATTTGATTTTAAGAATGAATCCTATGCTATCTCTTGTAGCCCTGTCTAAGTTAGCCTTTTTGAAGGAGTCTTTTGCTTCTCTGTTCCCAGTGCACCCAACAGTGTTAGCAACAGTAAGAGTAGCAGTTCTAGACTAGGTATCAGCGTATGTCTGTGGATTTATGCTGTTAATATCAGAAACTGCTTGACACACAGAGGCAAAGTGCTTGCTTTGTTTAAATACCTTACTCTGAACATGTCTGTACCAATAATTTACCATGCTGGGTAGCACCTCTCTGATGCATACTGCTGTGCCTAAGCTAATTAGCTCCAAGCAGAGTTAATTAGTCTGTCTGCAAAAATCACATTCAGGCAGTTATACTACTGTGCATGTACAGAAGTGCCACCAGCGCAATAGGTTAGCAGTATAGTCAGACCTCTGTACAATATGGTTAGCTAACTGGATTTTTTTCACGCTAAGAATTGTTTTCATCTTCTGTAGTATTGCAGGCAGTGTGGCAGAGAGCTACGACACTGAAAGTGGGTTTGAGGACTCTGAAAACAATGATGTTGCCAATGCAGTTGTGCGCTTCATCACCCGATTTATTGACAAGGTTTGTACAGAGAGTGGAGTCACACAGGATCACATCAAAGGCCTTCATTGCATGATACCAGGTAAGAGCTGTGCCAAAAATATAAATTCCTTTTATGCTCTTTGCTTACTTTCCTAGTCTGTTATAGTTCTTTTCATTCTCTGGGAAATGATCATTTTTGAAAGGAGAAATGTGTCTTGTTTCTTTTATTTTCAGTACTGTTTAAGGGTTTGTTTCCTTGACTGTAATTATTGACAAATTTTAAATAACCATTGAAGTTATCTATTTTTTATTTCCTTGACAGTTAATTCTAAGATTGGAATCATTACTTTGTTTTCATCTTTCTTGTATTATATGAGGTTTAATTTATAGCATTACTGCTTCCTAGGCATTGTAGCGATGCACATAGAGACACTGGAGGCTGTCCATCGGGAGAGTAGAAGACTACCACCAATACAAAAGGCAAGCATTGTGAAATTTGTTTGTATTGTCTTCAAGTATTGGAGTCATATACAGGTAGAAGTATCATTAATCTTTCTTGTTCTAGTGTAAAGAGACATCTGAGCACCAAAAGAAAGTTTTCATCAGTAATAAACAAGCTATTTGGCTTTGGTCTATGAAACACAAACTTGTGAAAGTAGCAGAGCCAAACCTCTGAACATAAACAAGTGATTGCATGCTTGTTATTTTTAAAAAACCCATTTCCCTGAGTTGAGTCCAGACTCCTCCTCCATATCCTAACAATTTTGTTTTGAAGGTTTTTGTTCCAAATAGGCTAAATAGATCCCGGTGTTGCAGTGCATATTTCTTTTAAAATATAAGTTCTTTTCTTCTGGGGGCGGTCAGCCTAAGATTCTGCGACCAGCTTTGCTTCCAGGAGAAGAGTTTGTATGTGAAGGTCTCCGTGTGCTACTGGATCCTGATGGCAGAGAAGAAGCAACAGGAGGATTACTTGGAGGCCCCCATATTCTCCCAGCAGAAGGAGCATTATTCCTTACTACATATAGAATTATATTTAAAGGCACTCCTCATGATCAACTAGGTATGCTCATTTTTGTTCAGACCAAAATAACCATGCTCTTTCATGTATGTAAACCTTTGAACTGGCCTTTTAGTTTAATTAACATATTCAAAATACATGTTCCATTCGAAATGATTGAAAATTCAAATATTCGTGTAATCATTTGTTTCTCACCTGTATGGGTACAGATGATTTTTTGTTTATACTTGCATAAAAGAAATAATTCAGTAGTCCTTATCACAGGAGCAAGGGAGTGATTTGGCTAAAGCTGGAGACCACAAGAAATCCTGGGTAGTATTCTTCAGTAGGAGCAAGAGTGGGAGTGGCAGCAATGGCAAGCAGAGCATCAGCCCTGGGTGCTGACTGGAGGGAAGAGGTCACACAAAAGGAGCAGTCACTGCTTCCAGCAGCTCAGCTGCTGCTGCCCTGTTCACCCCTGTCCTCCTGGGCACCAAACTGCTCAGTTATGCCTCTGGAATTCTTGGCGTTCCCACAAACTTGCTGTTTGATGTGGACAGCTCCCTTCATGTCTCACTCCTTCAGCTTCCTCATCTGTAAACTGGACCTAACAACACAATGTAGTAGATCAGTGGTTTTCAAATTGCTCACTCATAAATGTATCTGTGGCCTTCCAAATATCATCTGGGCTTTCATCGCTTTTCACCACCACCATGATATAGTGCTATTAATACCAAGTTATCTTTCCAAGTACACACATAAGAATGGCCACCTCCTACACACACAGCCTTCCTGCAAACACCCAGGTGATTGCTCACTGCAAAGGCCCTCTGCACAGCTATAGAGGCCCTCCTCCCCTTTCAAACAAAAATAGAGCGCTCCTGAACTTTACCTGACTTTTCCATTCTTGTTCAGTCATCATCCATTCCTCACTGAATATTTGTGAGACAGCAGCAGTCCTTCTCAAAGGTTCCCTTAATGGGTCTCTTCTTCCTCTTCCCTTCCTCTCCTTTTTCCCATGGAGAGGTGAGGAAGGTTCAGCTGTTTCCTTCTGTCTTTCCACAGAGGGCTTGGAGCCTTGGTTTCTGAAACAACTGAGCAGCCAGAGCACAGTGAGGAACTAGCAGTCATGGTTACATGACATATAATGACCCTGAGGGCTGCATGTATGGGCCCTGCAGGCTGACAGTCCCTGTTAAAGAGGGCTTGTGAAACCTAGGCTAGGGACAGACATTCAAAAAGCTGGAGACTGAATTGATTCACCCTTTGCAGGTTAGTTTAACTTGCCTAGGCTGAACTGGTTTGTAACAGGACAAACATTCTCTTTGGACTGAGGCAATGCAGGCACATGCCTGCAGTTCCCCGGGCCAGGAGCCGAGGGATGCTACAGCCGCAGGGCGCTAGATCTGCTTACCCTCGCCACCGTGCTCCCTGCCCCAAAATAGGCCCCCTGCTGGACAACATAGGGAGGAGGAATAACCCCTGTCCCTTCCCTCCCTAGCCCCCCCAAAGGGGCCCTACTGGCTGGTGTCTGACCACACCCTGCCCTGCTGCTGCAGCGGGAGGGGGCAGGACCCTTGTTGGGGGCAGCAGCCCCTGCCATGATGTGGGGGAGCACAAGCCCCTTCCCAGCGGGGGCGCTGGACTGTGGGGCCAGCAGAGCTGTGGTGGGCTATGCACAGCAGTGCTGGGGTCCAAAGCAGGCCAGAGCCCTGCAAGCCCCCCACAGAGCAGCCCCCACGGGGAAGCGGCTCACACTCTGGGAAGCCGTGATGGACTGCTACCCGTCAGGGTCACTCACCACTCACCGCTCCAGCTCCTAAGCAGGGGTGGGGCCCAGCCCCTACTGTTCAATCTGTGCTTTGGGCAAGCCTCCTCCCGGCAAGAGGGGGCTTATTCAGCCACTGACCCCAAATATAGGCCGAGTGGCAGCTGCCACCGGGCCAGGCAGACCCCACTGCAGTGCCAGCAGCTGAATAAGCCCCCTCCTGCTGAGCTTGCCCTGAGCACAGAGAAACTGCTGGCACTACAGTGGGGTCTGCCTAGCCTGGCCGCTGCCACCACTCTGTGCTCAGGGCCAGCCGCCCCTCCCAACAGGAGGGGGCTTATTAACCACTGGCCCTGAGTACAGAATGGAGGCAGCTGAGCCGGACAGACTCTGCAGCAGTGCCAGCAGCCTCTCTGTGCTCAGGGCAAGTGTCCACTCACCACCAACACCACTAACCACCACCAGCAGCTGCAGGCGGTCCCCACTCACCACTTGCTGCCATGGTGCCCCCCAATCACGGAAAGCACCAGTCATTCATGCTCAGGGGCCATGATGCCCCACTGCTGCAGCAGTGAGGGGGAAGTGCCCAGCAAACCTGGCTCGGGTCCCTGCTGGTGGGATGGAGAGGGGGGAATTAAACCCCTCCCTGCCAATGGTTGCTGCTCGCCACCCCCTCCCTTAGCTGCTGACACTGCCAGCTGCATCTACGGGTAATCCCCAATTGCCACTGGCCACCACTGATACGGCCGGTAGTGTCTGTGGGCAGTCGCCAACCATTGGTCGGCGCTCACCACCACTAATGCCACCGTGGCTTCCTGCAGGAGCTCCCTGCTCAGCACCAACACCGGTGCCACCACCTGTGGGTGGTTGCTGTGCCCACCCCTGAGCCTCCTGGGGCACATGGCATTCATGAGTGGCTAAAAATTAAAATCTCATGTAATGGGTTCAGGAATTAAGTGATGATCTATATCAGAATGGAGACTTACAGTTGAAGACTTTTACAATCAAATAGGAATAAATTCCCACACTCAAAGGCCTGAATGTGTTCAAACACTCTTAAAAATAGTACCAAAAAGTATGGTAATCAAGAAAAATGGATTGACTTTGAAATGTAGGAACTAAAAAAAATTGATCTTAGCTTGAAAATCTTGCAGAATGGTATTAACTTTCTCTCTTATACAGCTGTTACAGGATTAAGTATTGTTTTTAATTATATCATGGAAATAGTAGCAGGTCTACAGAGCAGATTTCCACGCCAAAAAAGTACAATTTTAGTTATAAAGTGCATAGTTTTTAATAAGAAAACTAGTGCATATTAGTTATTATTTATGAGCTGCATAATACAATATGGCAAATTATTACATTAGAAACTGATTCCTGGACCTATACCAATTTTTTATGGCATTTCTTTTAGCAGGAATAGATAAAGTAAAAAAAAAAAAAAGTATTTTCAATCAAAAAGATTAGCAATAGGAAAATTGAATCTTGGGTGTAAGTAATACTTTGGGAATTTATCAGCTTCTATAAAGTATATTGCCCAAAGTGAATTCTATATGGTAATATTTCTTACATTTGAGATTATAGGTATGATTTTTCCCTTGTCTTGAGTCTGTTCAGTAACAAATGTTCAAAGTACTATGAAGCCAAACAGATCTACCTCCCTAATCTAATAAATATCTATAAATGTGCTCCTATGATATTTAGTTGGAGAACAGACGGTGGTCCGAAGCTTTCCTATTGCATCTTTAATGAAGGAGAAGAAGATAGCTATTCAAAACCAGTTGCAACAGAATATGCAGGAAGGACTGCAGATCACCTCAGCCACCTTTCAGGTAGAATAGAGTGTTGTAAGACGCATCTGAAACAATAATTACATCCAAACAACCTCCTACAGTTTACACCTTTAATTCTGGGAGGAGCCAAAGGAACTCAGTGGGCACTTAGTATCTTTTAGAACTGTTTTTGCAACTATGTTTCTATCTCTCCACCTTTCTGTGTGTCAGAGAGCATCTCAGGGCCACATCCAGACAAGCATGGCCGTGCGGTTTGTGGCACCACACACCACACCTTCAGGCATTCCCCAGGCTGCTACCTTGCAGCACTGGTGGGGGGTTGGCCATAAGAAATCTCAGGGTCATAAAAACCTGTGTGGAAGAAAGCAGGGCAGCACATGTGTCAGCAGCACACACCACCTAAAACCAGAGCTTAGCCAGCCAGAGCGACACTCCAGCTGCCAACCAGGTTCCCAGCTACAGAAGTACCACGGCTGCAGCTTCCCTGGCCCCCAAGGCCCCAGGTAAGGCTGCTGGGACCAGCAGAGTTGCTGGCCCCAGCCTCCCCTACCACACCCAGGATAACCTGCCATGCACCAGAACCACCGTGGCACAGGTGTTCCCCAGGGACAAGTAGCAGTGGCACAAGGTGGGCTGCTGCTACTTGTCCCCAGGGAACCAAATGTCCGCACTCATCTGGATGTGGCTTAGGTGTCCAAATTCTCTGCTTGACAGCAAAAGGATTTGGAGTATGTCAAAAGGTATGCATATCATCAGTCCCGTAGAATTTACCATATTTACTTGAATACAAGACAAAGTTTTTCTCCCAGTCAGCATGGGGAACAAAGCCCCATGTCTTATATTCACATATAAGGAAACCTCATTAAATATGCTGTCTATTTTTAAACTGCTACCAAAAGCAGAATGTGCTCAGTCATGGAAACCAACTATGAAACTGGTTAAATGCAGACAACACTGATCGTGACTATGAAACATATGGCCCATATTGGGCAAACATGCTGTTGGAAACCTCCCCGCCCCCACCTTTTTTTTTCACGTCTTCAGCCAAATCAGCCAAATGAGTTCCAAATTATATCAAGTGAACAGGGCTCAGTTGTTCAAATCTGTGTGGCACTACCACCACCAAGTCTCCTACCTCCCAGACTCTTCAGCTGAGGACTTAAGATATTCCCAAATCCAAGGCAGGCATCCTATATGCAAGCCCCAGCCCCAGAGCCCTGGGAGTTCAGATGCTCCCTAGTCTTGATTCCAGAGGCCAAAAGGCCAAAGAAACAAGCTGGCAAAAAAGCCCCGATCACAAGGATAGGTTAATATGGTCCATTTGAATAGGATGCATGGTAGTGCCCATTGAATCCAGTCCCCCATCATTACCAAATCTTTTTGAAGGTATGGTGAGCCACTACACTGCATATATTTTTACTTCCTTTTCACTCCCACAGCTGAGCTGTTCCTTTCTATCCCATTTTCAAAGATTCCTGTTTTTTCACCAGCCTTAAATGTCTGCCAGACATCACCAAATGGGGCCCCAAACAGTTCACACAGAGCCCCTCTGTCAGCCCCTCAGTGTGTTGTATATGATTAGTGTGGCCCTGACCTCCAAGAGGTGGAGCTGAGCCAGGTTGACCTGCACCTTATCTGAATATAAATTTTTGGAGGATCCCAGGACTTGTGACAAGGACACCCAGTTCCACACCATGAATGGGGGACTAGCTAGCACATAAGTCCTTCGTGGGGGCTATCTGGAGTACACACATATACTGAGCAGTGCTGAGGTGTGGGATCACTATGACTTGAAATGTTGTTGACTGTGCTGGCCATTGAACTGTGTGATAAATCATGAGCCTTTTGGCTATGTTCCATGGACTTCTAGGCATCCACAGACTGTGTCTAAGAGGTCTGCAGAAGATGACTATGATCAATCAGAAGTATGTGTACCTTCACTTACAATTCAAAGGTGTTCACACCTCCATTCAAAATTTCTAAAGAGGTCCACAGCTCCATTCAAAATTTTTTAGGGGTCCACAAATGAAAAAAGCTTGAAAGCCACTGAACTTGTATCATGCATAGTTTGTACTATATATATAAGTAGGTGCCAAAGTGCTGCTTAAAAGTGTGTTTATGGAGTACCTGTGCTAATACTTGTAGCAGTTTCAAAAAAGTTAAAATGCATTAATTCTGGATGAACTAAGTCTATGGGTACTATATGCAAATTACTTCAGGCATGTTTATTTTATGGTCACTGATTTCAAATTTGTTTCTCACTTCCATGTGCTCAAGGAGAGCAGGGTCTTGACAGTAAGGCAGGAGAGGGGCTGCAGGGGAAAATAAGTTGTGGGGCAGAGGGTAAAGAGGCCACCTGACCTCCCTGCCCCTAGATTAATTGCCCCTGCTGTAGCAGTGAGGGGGAGACAAATACAAGGCAAACCTCCAATAATTAGATTCTATTCCTAGAAAATTATATCAAATGTATACGTTTTCTATATGTATAGAATCTAATTATTGCAGGTTGTCTTATATTTGAGTAAATCCAGTATTTGGAAAAGGTTGTAGTACATGTACATTATATTTTCTGTAGAGGTTCCTGCCATTCACCAGGATTTCTAGGAGCATTCATGGGAAGAGGATTTCCTCGGTAGCACAGCTGAAATGAAACTTCCACTTCTAAGGATCATTAGGGGGACCCCTAGTAATTAGACCTAAGGGAGAAACGTGGCCTCAGCATGGGTGGCTCTGAGGTTTGATGGATCCCCAAGATCTGCACAGGCCTCTGATGATTTGCCAGGTTTAAGGACAGTTCCCAAAACTTTCTCTGCAGAGGACAAGTGGTGGGAGTGGAAATCCTCATGGGATTTTTGTCTCATAACTCCATCCTGTAAATTTAATAGAAAAAGCAGTCTAAACTCTGATGAGGCGCCAAGTGAGGGGGAAGAGAATGCAAGATAGAAATCTTCAAGAAAAAATGTCAGTGAGTAGAATTAGTATTACCCTATTTAATGTGCTGCATAAGAATGGGAAATGCAGCCACAACTCAGTATTTCTGTTGCTGAACTCTGATCAAATATAATGTCTGCTTTTGTTTAAAATAGTTTTGCCTTAGGTTATTTAAACAAAAACAGTCATCAAACAGCTTACTTTCTATTCCTTTTATAAAAGCCAGAGTTCGATACCACGTGAAATAATCTTTTCTCTGTGCATCTTAAGTATGGCCATCTAAAGGATTTTAGTTTCAGCTACATTATTACATTTAAAACATCGTATTAAGATAATCTTTAAAAGATTCAAAACTTTGTATAAAGGAGGTTCTAGATTAACAGGAATATTAGCCATTTGGAAAGAAATCACTAATGCAAGTGAAATGAAAACAAAGGATGAGATCTGCTTTGTGATAGGCAAGCAAATGTATTTAAGAAATAATTTCATCTGGACCCTTACAAAATAAAAAAAATACCTCAAATGTTTATTTTTTATTTCTTCTCACCATGGGGGTTTACTTTGTCCCTTTGTCCATCTCCCTTGCTCTGTCTTTTTTTTCCCTTCATCCCCAGGGCTAGCTGTCATCTGCTGACTGAGGATTATGGGAAAGAAGACCTTCTGGACTTTATAATGCCATTCTTTCACTCGTAAAATACTTCAATGTTGGCTAATCTGAGGCAGTGCATTTTCCAGGGGTCCGATTTGGCTCTTACGCTTTGCTCTTAGCACAGTTTTCTAGGCTTAGCAAGTTGAACAAATTGGAATGAAAGAGCAAGACAAGGGTGCCTGTAGTCATTTATTAATGTTGGAATTGTGCATGTAGTGGTAGTGAAAAAGTCTTTAAAGTAGCTTACCAGCCTTTTTTGCCAACTTATGACATATGTCCTCAAAGATTTGGGCCACTAACACACTTCCAGCCAAAACTATCTCATGTAGTGAGAAAGTATGACTGGTGGTTTAACTAGCACAATATTATGAGTGCCAAAACTACCACTTAGGTTTCTCCGAAATGTTTTGTGCTAGTATTATGAGAATTCCAGATACTGCATAGTGGAAATGCTTTTGCATTAGAATGGAAATTCAAAAAATAAAGCAAAAATCAACAGGATATATACTGTGTTCCCCTAATAAGTAATATATACAGGTACCTGTATTTTCTAATAGTATGGTTCTACATAAACATGTTTTATAAATATATTTTTCAGGAATTTTAGTATTCCTAAATGTGTTCTTTTTTAAGCCTTTTCACCCCAGAAGTCCCCATATTTAATTATTTTTAGTCTATAACATGTTCTTTCTTTTTTGTACAGTTAATTAAAGTAGCATTTGATGAAGAAGTGAGTCCTGAAGTGGTAGAAATATTTAAGAAGCAGCTAACGAAGTTCCGTTACCCTCAGTCCATCTTCAGTACTTTTGCCTTTGCAGCTGGACAGATAGCACCACAGCTAATCTTACCAAAGCAAAAAGAAAAAAACACTTCATTTCGGTAAGTTGTATTCTCTGTTTTTCTTCAATGAGATTTTTGCTGATATTTGTATCTATTATTATTCCAACGTATTATGTGTAAGCTTTGAGAGCCTTGCAAAATTCCAAACGAAAGTAGTCTTCAACAAAGCTCAGTTGATTAGATTCTATGATGTTCATTGTTTGTGTGTGCCAAGTGAAATCTATGTAGTGCGCAATATGTATGAACATATGTATCATTTTTTTTTACTTTCCATTCTAATGCAGCCAGGTGGGAACCTGTGGGCCATGCATTTACCCTTTGTGGGTGAATGTGACCCATGGGCCATCAGTTGTACAAGACCTGGTTAGGAAATAAATCAGCCATGAGAATATAGATAAGAACAAATTTCTGCTCAATGCAGTTGTCCTGGTGCTCTTTATGTAGATTTGGGGGGGTGACTTTTCTTTGAAGTAAATTAAGCTAATTTCAAGCAAGGTACTCGACTAGATCAATAGTTAGTCTGGTCCAGGGTGGCAACTTGTATACCTGTATTAATTTCTGCCTTGCTAGCCTGTTAGAATAAATACCAAAATAGTTCTGGAATCTTAAAATGTTTAAGCTTGCCTTTTTTTTTTAATGTCAGCCAAGTAGACTTATTGTCACATAGCCAGCAGCACCTGAAAAGAGAAGATGCTGCAGTTGGGCATGTTGACATACTGGAAAAATATTGGCACATTCTTCCAAACCTCAATTAAAAATTACCTCAGGAGCTTATTTTTGGAAATCCTTACTTTTGTTGCTTTTCTTGAAATTAAATGGAAAATTATGACAAACAGTTTGTGCGCAAGCAGACCCATGATAAAAGTGTAGTTAGGTATAATGACACGAATACAAAATATTCCTAAAAATCAAAGCTGTTTAAAAAAATATTTTTATTCATTTCTGAATTATAGTACCATCTCAAAAACAATTGTGAAAGGAGCCAAACGTGCAGGGAAGATGACTATTGGTCGGCAGTATTTATTAAAGAAGAAGACAGGCACAATAGTGGAGGAAAGAGGGACTCGTTCAGGCTTGAATGAAGAGGATGATATCTCTGGTAAAAAGAATATATATTCATATTGTACCATGAGTTTTTATTTTCTGCAGCTCCATTCCAATGCATTGGCCTGTCGGGGGATTTTCAAAGTGTTTATTTGGGGAAAAGATCTACTGATAAAAGATAGAAAGCTTTTTAAATGTCTGAAATCAATAACTCATCTCTTGGTGATGACTTTCAACTGTTATCACCTTGCTAAGCTAGTAGGAGACAAGGGGAAGTAAAAACTTTTAACTTTGTATACTTGTAAAGGAAAATGTCAAATCCTTGTTTTCTTATCATCAAACTTTTCTGTACAACTTCAGTACTATCCTGTACGTCAATAATTCTCATCAAGGATGCTGTTGAGATCCTTTTGAACATGCTGCAGGGTGCCCTGCAACATTAGCACTGATAGGTGTGCAAATACCCACACATGATTCACAAGATAAACCCAAAGGCTACATCCAGACAAGCGTGGCCATGCAGACATGTCTGCTGTGCCATATACCACACATTCAGCTGTTCTCCACACTGCGAGGTAGTGTGGAGAACAGCTGGACAGTGCGCACAGGGGCAGCACATGCCACCCAAAACCAGAGCCTGTCTGGCTGGAGCCATGCTCCAGCTACCAGCCAGGCCGTGAGCGGCAGGATCGCTGCTACTGCAGCCTCAGGAGACCCCAGGACCCCAGATGAGGCTGCTGGGGCTAGGCTAGTGCTGGCCCTAGCCTCCCCTACCCCACCTGGGGTAACCCGCTGCACACCAGAGGGCATGTGGCACTTGCGTCCCCCAAGGACAAGTACCAGCAGCAAAAAGTGTGCCACTGCTTCTTGTCCCTGGTGAAACAAATGTCCATACTCGTGTCAACGTGGCCAGAGATTTCAAATAGGAATCCATAGTCTCAAAAACATTCTTACCTGTTGTAATCTTTCTGAGTTCTTGGCAACAAAAGAATTGCTCTAATATTTTTCCATGGTCAGCAAGTGAAAGCTAAAAGCTGGCATTTTCCATGAAGTACCTTGAGTCTAAAAAATGTTGCAAATCACCACTCTGCAAAATGCTGGGGTAGATAAGAATACTGTTGCTGTGCAACACCAAGACAAGCACCACACATTTATTGTTAAATAGTTTCTGACAGACTCTACTCTTAGAACAGCTAAGTCTCATTCTAGAATGAGGTAGTTTGGCAGGTTTAAAGTAGCAGCAAATAGTGTAGAATATTTCCAAGAGATATGTGGGTGCAAAATTAAGTTTGTTTTTGAATAAGCATACGTTATCACACTTGCGAAGATCAGTGGAAAGTATTTTGGGGCAGAAGGTCAAAAGTGAGGTTTTTCCACCAAATACTTTTGTTCCTAAGATGCGCTACTGTCATCAAATCCTGTATCTACTAATTTGGATCAAGGCTAGTATTAAATATGCCACTAGAGGGAACCATATTCTCCTGTACCTAAATAGGTATTGTTTTATTATACCATTCCTTCATATTTTAGTTAGGATAATGAAGTCAGTCTAATTATATATATTTGAAGTATATCAAATATTAGCAATACCTCCAAGATCTCAAACAAGCTAAATATGTCCAATATAAATGACATATAAGTGTTGAGGATTCTATAGGAAAGATTACAGGTAAAAACGCGAAAGGTCTTTCATTTTTAATTTTCTTTCATTTTATTTTTGAAACATTTCTTTCTCAGTATTATAGTAATCCAACTAATTGATCAGTGTATATGGCTCCTAGTATTGAGTTAATATAAAGTTTACTCCAACAAAAACAGTTAAGGATAGGTCAATTATTGCAGTGTCTTCATGGTTTCAAAAGATATAAAAACCTTCTCTGAGATAGGAGGAAAAAGGCAGAAGAAAAGATGCACAATCTTGGATGATTTTTACATCATTCAGAAATAACAGTCCTCTTATGAACAACCAATTCTTCTGAGTACTGACCTGCATGTATCCCAATTCTAGTTTGTATGAACTTAAGTTCACATTCTTTTGGCCTGTTAGGGCACTTGTACACGTGCTGGGGTTTTAGTCCTCAGGGATTTATTCTGTGACCCCTAAATTGAAACAGTGGGTTTTTAATTGAAACCCACATGGTTCAATTTTTCTGTCACATTACAGTAAGGGGCCCGATCCTTTTTTTTTCTCGGAGCCTGAGCCTGCCCGTGGCCAGTGGGCCAAGCAGCCCGTGAGCTGCAGGGGGTCCCAGTCCTTCTGTTTACGGCAGTTGTGCCACCCAGGTGGGCTGCTAATGGGCTAGGTACTATCCCAGTTTGGAGGGATCACCCAGCCCGATCCAACTCTTCCCCAACCCCAAGCTGGGGCAGTACCTGGCCTGCTAGCAGCCCACCCAGGTGACTGGGGGGTACCACTGCCACAGAGGGAAGGACCAGGGGGCCCCCACAGCTCTGGGGCCACTCAGCCCACATCCAGCTCGCCCCCTGGCCACAAGAGAGGTGGGCAGTCTCTGCCAAAAAAAAAAAAAGGATCGGGCCCCTCTCCACTTCTGCCTTCAGCAGGCTCCTGCAGCCGGCAGGATGCCTGGGGCCGCCCAGGAACAAGCTGGCTTGCCCCTGGGGCGGCACAGTTAGGCACCAGGAGGGTGGTTGGGTGTGCTGGCAACCAGAAAAGGCAGCAGAGATGGTGCACAGGGCTCTGGAAGCCCAGGCTGCTAGCTGTCTAGGTGCTGCCCCAGCTCAGAGGCACCCAATTGAATACTTCCTTGAGCCTACCTGGGCTTCCAGTGCCCCATCCCCGCCTCCTTCAGCCACCAGCAATCCCAGCCACCCTCCTGCCTGCCTGTCTGTGCTGCCCCAAGGGCAAGTCAGCCTGTTCCCAGGTGGCCCAAGATGTCCTGCCGGCCACAGGATCCTGCTGAAAGCAGAAATGGTGAGGGGCCTGATCCTTTTTTCTGCAGACTCACTGGCAAACTTCCAGTCCTAAAGCATGTCAGCATACTCAGTGGGCATGGTGTTCTCAGTTCTTTGCTCTCTAGCACATGTTGCTGCTCTGGGATAGACAAGGCCCAAGTCTTCTTGTCCCACCCACCCACAAGCAAAACAGGCCCAGCCTCCCTCAGTTCCCTCTTACAATCTGTGATTGTAAGTTAGAACCTTAGCAGCATTTAAGGGCAGAGCAACTAAATTCTCTCTTGCTTAGAGACATTAGGTAGAAATTGTTAATTTAATGTTCATTGAATATTTGGTAGCTTTCCTTCTCCACCAGCAAAACAAAACAAAATGTTTTTTCTTAATTGTGAGACTTGCTCTGTATTGGTTTCCAGGCTTTTGTTAAACTCAAGTTTCTTAGTTTTAAGAATATCCGTTTTGTGACAGTCATCTCACTTAACAGTGGGCATACCTTCTGTGCCTCAGACATTGGCACATTTCTGATAAATGTACTGTTTTCAGGACGTGTCCCAGTACAGCTGATCCACTTCCTTGAGCAAAACAGATGTCACCTGTTGTCCAACAGGGTCATGTCGTTGCAGCTCCCACTAGCAGAGGAGCACCCAGGGATTCCCCAGGCCCTTCAATTCCACAGGAAACTTCAGTGCAACAAAAAGCCTGGAAACCAATACAAAGGAAGTCTCACAATTCCCCAGGCACTCCTTTGCTAGCAGGGTGACCCACGCCAGTGTGTCAAACTCACTGAGGTGCAGTTCCAGGGCTGAGACTGTCAAACAGCTGATTGGTGGGACCACACCAGTGTCAGCATGTACTTAGGGGAACCCAGGCAGGTGCTTCCTGGGCTTCAGGGGCCCAATTATGCTGCTCTGTGAGTAAGGAGGGCCCATACTCTCCCACCTCAAAGCAAACAGAAGTCAGGTGCTAAATAGCAGCACAAAATCATACCGTCTATGTCACAGCCACACATCTTTGGCATTTGTGGTACGTCAGGGGTCCTGGGCGTCTGTTTGCTTAGCCTTTGTGACACCATAATTTTTTTTATCAATGTCTGCTTACACACTAAGAGAATGGAAAAGGGTCGTAAGGCACACCTCAACCCACAAGAAAGATTTGAGGTCCCTACTCTAAAGATCCTCTGATGGCTCACATTTTTCTCCAGGCCTTATTCAATACATGAAACAGCATAGGGGCATCTTTTGCCATGAGGTATTCCTTGTGGTTGCACCAAGATAAATGCACTTAGGTAAGTTCTCTGGGACTCTGTGGACTTGGAGAAAGGAAGAAGCAGGCCAAGTCACACAGCATCCTGAAACAACATTAAGGCAGCCTTGGTCAGGAAGTGCAACTCTTGGAGAATCATTTTCTCTCACGCATCCCATTTTGGAAGCCATTTATTTTATTTTCAGAGGGCATGTCTATGTGAGACGCTACATTGCTGTAGCAGTGCGCTACAGCAACGTAGCATCGGTAGGCACAAACTGTGATGCCACAGCTATGTCGCCATAGCAACGCACTCCCTCGCTATAGCATGTTGCTATGGCAATGTCGCAGCTAAAACTAACTGTGCCACCAGCATGGCACAATGTGGGCTGTTACTGTGCCGTCATTTAGTACTTCCAAAAGAAAGTACTAAATGACAGCATAGTAACAATGGCACCATAGGGGCACACACAGACATGCCCAGAGAGTCTGGGCAGCTTGTCACTACAGATAGCTGGGTACGAAGAGATGATCAAAACAAAGTATTCCAAACAAATCCAGTGTTCCCACATTCCACCCTCCCTTCTCCACATACACCTTCCTTTATAGGGACCTCTTGTGTGAGGTACTAGTTTACAACAAGCAGTGGAATCACTTTAAAGTCTTTGAGCAATGGAAGGAGAGAGTTCACTCCCACTATTTTCTAATTCCAGAAAGAAAGGAGGACTAGTGCCTGGTTCTTGATTTGAGACAGCAAGATACCCTTGTCTTCAACTTCAGTTTCAGGATAGTAACTCTGTCTTATATAATGCTGTGCCAGGATCTCCAAGAGTGGCTTGCAGCTGTTAAAGTCCACATTCCTGCTTCATATAAAAATCATCTAGTGCTCAGGAAATACCTGAA